CCCAACAGGGAAAGGAGGAGGAGGAGACTGCTCTCCTGACATAGGAGGGAAAGAGAAGGGGCTGCATGCGACATGTAGTTTCCCCTTTGTGGACATGCAGTTTAGAAGTCCTTTCTGTTTTTTGTTTTCGTTGGGTTTTTTTTGTTTTTGTTTTGAGTGGAGAACATACATTGGGTTGTTAGGGACATAGTGTCCAAATTTGGTGCCAATTGCCCCAGTGGTTTCTGAGTTCTGTGAATAGCACAAACGAACATTACATTTTTATTTATATAGATCATGTGATCAGTTGCATCGACTCACATAATGTCCTTTTAGAGAGATATAAAATGGTCATTCATTGTCCATGTGAAAAACTGCTTCCAGCAGCTCATGAAGCAAGAGCACATTCCAAACTGTCTCTCTCTGCTTCTCTGCAAGCACCTGCATAGCTCAAACCTGAAAAATGTAACAGTATCCAAAAGTCCCAGGCTCAGCCAGCATAGCCCGACCAATCATTTTTTTTGGATCTTATTTTACAGTTGAAGTACACACACACTAACTGATTTCTTACATGCTCCAACAATGTTTTTATGATAGACCCAATTAGGAAAGGACATTTATAACCCAGGAACAAAAATTGTGTTAAATGGAGCAGAGGAAATGCAGCACAGTATAAATAAAGAGACCACACTGGAATATCTGGCTATTCAAATAGTTTCTCATTGAATATCTCATAGTGTTTCAACCAATTCAACCTAATTTATTTAATTTATTTATTTACTAGCCGTCCCCTGCCACGCGTTGCTGTGGCCCACATGGGGGCTCTGTGTGGAAGTTTTGTCCCAATTCTATCATTCGTGGTGTTCAGAATGCTCTGTGATTGTAGGTGAACTATAAATCCCAGCAACTACAACTCCCAAATGTCAAGATTCTATTTTCCCCAAACTCCACCAGTGTTCACATTTGGGCATATTGAGTATTTGTGTAGAGTTTGGTCCAGATCCATCATTGTCTGAGTCCACAGTGATATCTGGATGTAGGTGAACTACAACTCCAAAACCAAAGGACACTGCCCACCAAACCCTTCCAGTATTTTCTGTTGGTCATGGGAGGACTGTGTGCCAAGTTTGGTTCAATTCCATCATTGGTGGGGTTCAGAATGCTCGATGATTGTAGGTGAACTATAAATCCCAGCAACTACAACTCCCAAATATCAATTTTTTTTTAGTGAAGGACATACATTGGGTTGTTAGGTGTCTTGTGTCCAAATTTGGTGTCAATTCGTCTAGTGGTTTTTGAGTTCTGTTAATCCCACAAACGAACATTACATTTTTATTTATATATATTACTAGCTTGGGTCCCCTACATTGAAGAAGTCAATTTTTTAATTGTACTAAGGTTGTGAGTGAACTCCATAAGGTTATGAGTGAACTACAACTCCCATCATGCCAGGTTAACCCTTAGAAACTCCATCAGTACTTAGTTTGTCCTGTTGAAAAACTTTGCTCTAGATGCATCATTAGTGGGTTCCATGTGCACTCTGGCTACATGGTAAACTACAACTCCCAGTATGGTGAGTCAGTCCCTGAAACCACTCCAGTAGGTTGAGTTAGCCATGGGGATTCTGTGTGCCAAGTTTGGTCCAGGTCTATCATCAGTGGAGGTCATAGTTTCCCTGGATGTGGGTAAACTACAACTCCCAGAAATGAAGGTCAATTCCCCTCAAACCCCTCCAGTGTGTTCAGTTGGTCATGGGGGCTCTGTGTGCCAAGTTTGATTCAGGTCCATCATTAGTGGGGGTCACAGTTTCTTTGGTTGTAGGTGAACTACAACTCCCAAAATTCAAGGTCAATCTATCCCAAACCTTTCCAGTAAACAAATTTTGGCATATCTGATATGTGTGCCAAGTTTGGTTCAGATCCATTGGTTTTTGGGTTCACAGTGCTCTCTGGATGTAGGTGAACTACAGCTCCCCCAAATCAAGGTGAATTTCCCCCAAAGACCTCCAGTATTATTTGATGGTCATGGGGGTTCTGTGTGCCAAGTTTGGTCCAATTCCCTTTTTGGTGGGGTTCAGTGTTCTCTTTGATTGCAGGTGAATTATAAATCCCAGTATCTACAACTCCCCCCCAAAACCCAGCAGTATTCCAATTTAGGCATATCAGATATGTGTGCTAAGTTTAGTCCAGATTCATCATTGTTTGAGTTCACAGTCCTCTCTGGATGTAGGTGACCTACAATTCCCATTAATCCACCCAAAGACCGCCAGTATTTTTTGAGGGTTCTGTGTGCCAAGTCAGTTCCAGGTCCATCGTTGGTGGGGTCCAGAGTGCTCTTTGATTGCAGGTGAACTATAAATCCCAATACTTACAACTCCTATAAATCAAGATGAAATCCTCCTAAATCTCTCCAGTATTTCTCATTGTTCATGGGACTTCTGTGTGTCAAATGTGGTCCAGATTTATTGTTGGTATGGGTCAAGGTGCTCTGAGTTGATGCAGGGTGAACTACAACTTCCGACATGTTGAGTCAGTCCCCCAAACTCCTCCAGTTCATCTACAAACAAAGAGCATTCTGAACTCCACCAACGATGGAATTGAACCAAACTTGGCACACAGAACTCCCATGATCAGCAGAAAATACTGGAAGGGTTTGGTGGGCATTGACCTTGAGTTTTGGAGTTGTAGTTCACCTACATCCAGAGAGCACTGTGGACTCAAACAATGATAAATCTGGACCAAACTTGGCACGAATACTCAATATTCCGAAATGTGAACACTGGTGGAGTTTGGAGGAAACAGACCTTGACATTTGGGAGTTGGAGTTGCTGGGATGTATAGTTCACCTACAATCAAAGAGCATTCTGAACCCCACCAGCAAAATAATTGGGCCAAAGTTCCCACACCAAACCTCCATGACCAACAGAAAAGACTGTGTTTTCTAATTCAGGAAGAACAAGCGGATCTAGCATGTATAACAGAGACCTGGCTAGATGAGGGGGGAGGGGTGAATCTCACCCAACTATGCCCACCTGGCTATTCTGTGCAGCACCAGCCAAGACCCGGAGGGCGGGGCGGAGGAGTTGCAGTGGTCTATAAGGATTTTATCCCCTTGATCAGGCGCCCCATCCCACAATTATCATCATTTGAATGTGCCGGCTTTAGGTTAGGTGACCGGGACAGGATAGGGATTCTGTTAGTGTACCGACC